ATCTATTGTAACCGTATTTCTTTTTATTATTTAATTAATAATCATTTGATTATTCGGCGGGCGGTTCTTCGGTGCCCACGGCACACCTTTGGCGCGTATTTCGACTATCGATCCTTCGATCCAGAAAATTCCCACTTATTACAAAATAAATCGAGTTAGGCGCCAGGTACGGCAGGCCGCACCATTCACGATAATAGCAACACCGAAAGACAATTGCGAGATCGATAATTAACGCGACGGCAAAATTCCGGGGCTACTCAGTATACCCGAAATGGTAGAGGGGGTGGTCCGAGAGAAACGGAAAAGATCTTGAGAGTCGAGAACACGGGAGCAAAAATGAGCATTCGATAAGTTAAAATAAATATAACAATAATATATTAAAAAAAAACAAGAGTATAACGCAGTTCGCATAAGTAATAATCTTGGAGGACAGTAGTTATTTTATAGGCGATTGAGATATTATTTTATTTCCTCGTAGATAGACACGACCGTGCGCAACAGTATCTAATTACCGGGCGTCTTACGTGCTTTAAACTCGACTTTTCGGCCGCGAGGATTTCCGCCGTACGAGACTTATTTAGGCCGCGACAACTAAAGAAATCCCTCGAATGCGCCGGTAACTATTTTACGCACATCCGTGAATCCGCTTCGATATAATAGAAAATTCTAGATCGTATGACTCGAATCGGTCCTTTAGTCAGGCTCGCGGTGAGCCGATATTTGCCTCGATAACAATAGCGACGACCTTGGCGTCGAAATACGCAAGATATAACTCGAAGGACTCGCGGAAACTAATAGCGGGCTTCAAGACACTCGATAAATACTCTGCCCGATATTTGAGAATTACGCTTTTTCTTCACTCTAATTATATACAGGGTGTCCCATTTTAAAAGTTCCACCCTCATAACTTTTCAGGATCAACATTTAAAGGAAAACGATACGGATAAAAGTTGTAGGGAACAAAGGGGGCTATCTAATAGTGACCTTGGATTTGACATTAAAGGTCATTTTCAAGGTCATTTGAAGGTCAACTTCCGTTTTTTAAATGGAACCCCCTATTTTTTATTGCATATTCTTAATTGTTTTAAACAATATATTGTAAATAATTACATACTTTTTCTTAAAAACAATTATTTTTTTTAGAACGGAAATCTTGCCTGCAAACGCTGGATGGAATTTAGCGCGAGGCAGAGGACATTCGCGATGCGGTTAACGAGCGTCGACTCTCGGACTCCACACAATTAACGTTCACGATGTCTTAGCACTAATTGACCGAAGAATACAGTTTAAATATTACCGAATTGACCGCCGCGAGAATATGAACGCGATTAGATGCGAGACAATTCAGAACGATTTAGAGACGAGTAAGCCTACTGCGTACGCGACACGAGCGAGAATAAGCGATGTGCAAATGCGAAAAGTCGATGAATTTCGACTTGCTGGAATCGTTGTCGTAGGCAGACTGAATAACGACGGAAAAAAGTCGCGGTCGACCGATTTCCATAATAGGATATTTTCGGCGCCGAATGTTCGAGAATATAGGTGTTTGTCACACTTTTTCTTTCTAAGAAGAATGCGATCACGCACCGATCGGCTGATCGCGACGATGTTTATTCTCGCACGTGTTTTGATTGCGGCTCTTACCGTTTAGATTTGTCGATTGCATTTACAGTTTAAATTTATCGATTAAATTCAACGTTTCAATCTTGAACAAAAATGAAATATGAAAGAAAAATAATCTTTTTTATTTAAAATAATTGTCATTGACATTAATTTATCATTATAAAGAAGCTCTTTATTGTAACATAGAGTAACTAAATAAAATCAAGGAAAAATAAACCAAAATATTAAAGTCACAATGAAAATAATATCAAAATGATGTCGAAATGACATCAAACAACGTCAAAATAACGTCATTTTAACGTCATTTTGATATCATTATGATTTGTTCTACTTATATGTTGTTATATATACCTATTGTTTCATTAACAAGTATTTAAAGACAAAATGCATTGCCATAGATTTACTATCACAGATTTTATTTATATTGGTTTTATCTTTTTTATTAAAAATTCTTAATCTAAAAACTATAAATCTTTTCATAATTTAAAAAAATTAATTGTAACAAGTTAATATGTAATTTGCATTTAATTTTTTACATTTTTCTAATAAAAATAATTTCAAATTAATATTTTTCATATTACTAAAATATTTAGAATAATATCGAAATATTTGTTCTAATTTTAAAAATCTTTTAATTGTTTTCACATTGATATAATATAAAAAATTTGTAATAATGCACCTCCCATTGTTACCTGGCAGTCGACCCGCCAGAAGTCTGCCGTCTGGCTAACATCGGCCGGACAGAGGCGCTTAGCGGCCTTTTTAAACGCATTGCGAGAAACCGAACACGATAACGGAGACAACCGTTATACGGCTGCCGTTGCGGCCCGAATTACGAGTACCTCCGAACGCCTCCGAAAAATACCGAGCGCTCCGAAACCGAAACGCCGCGTCGTTTTCCCGCGGTGTAGCGGCATGTTACCCGCTAATTACCGAACCTGAAAACAACGCGTCGTTACCCTCACCTGAATAAGCGACGCGGATACCGTTAAGCGCTCGGTATAAAAAGGCCGCCGGATTACATCTCATTACCAGACCGGTACTTGAATCCTCTCGAGCAGTACGCTCCGAGATACTATATTAGATCCGATCCTAAAGTTCACAGAAAACGACGGAACGTGAGGTTGACGTGTTCGCAGCCTCCGTCGAGCATTCTCGGTTTCCTCGTCACCTGCGAATCCTCACGCAATTCCGACCAACTCAACGAGAGCGGAATGTTCGCCGCTCTCCTAGATTACGGTCTAAGATCCGACCGCTCCAGCCAGACGGGCCGTGGGTTAGCGTGTTCGCTACCCCGTCGAGCTTTCTCGGCTCCGACCGGCTCTCCTTAAGTCCGCGTACAGAATAGGGCCGGAGAGTTCTCCATCCGATCGAGGTTACTCGATTTCTGACCGCATCCCCAATCAGCTGGGAATACGTGCTAGAAAACGGCATCTAACACCGACGCTTTCGTAAACACGCGGCCCCGCCGCCCGACCGAATAAGTAGCCGTGCCGAAATACCTGTCGCGCCGTATCTCGCTTATTGTATAGTAACGCGCCGTCAAAATAAACACGGCCTTGCCGTACACACGCCGACTAACCGCGCCCTGTTTCTTGCGCGTCTCGTGCGTACCGTCACAACAAACCCGGCCTCGCCGTACACCGGCAAATACAATAAGCAGTTCGATACATCGAATATCGCGCACCGACAAACGGACGCGAATTAATTATAAACACGTCTCGTTACCCGCCGCGCACTGGCTTCGCGAGATATAAAACCGATATCATCATATTGTAAATTGACCATTGCCGAAAGAGGCGAATAAATCAGCTACGTTCCAACTCAAGCTTCTCGTGTGTCTCACCCCTTTCTCGAGCCCTGATCCCGGCCGAGCTACCCCGCGCGCTCGCGAAAGTGGCCCCGTTACAAATTTTTTGTGTATCCCTATCTAAAAGAGGCATGTTATGTCGATACTCGAAAGTCTCGAAGTGTATTGTTGCCTCTTTTCCGCGAAGCTGATTGGTTGTCTCGCTTGTGCGTTGACTTGCTTTATTCGTGTTATTTGCAACTGTCAAATCATAAGAATTTTGACAGTTTGACAATTTGTTGAAAGAAAAAGTTAAAGTTAGGAAAGAAAAGTTAAAGAAATTGGAAAATGTCCATAAGGAAAAGCGCGCGCGTAGCGCGCGTCTGTGTTGTTCTAGTGCTTTAAATTGCACGAATCTGCTAAATGAATATTGTAATAAAGTCTTCGATCCTACATATTGATTTTTAAACAAATATTGCACACTTTACATGTCTTCATGATGGAATTTAAGATATATCCAGCAATGTTATATAAAGAGTTTAAATCAAGATTTGTCATTTTATCAATAGAATTATTATCAAAATCTGGTATTTTATTTGTACTTGGTATACTATCTTGCATTATGTCTTTCCTTTTTTTGGGTTTTATCGATGATAAATATTCAAGAAATCCTGATAAATATTCCGATAAATAGATAGTTTAATGTATTTAGCCTGATTTAGCCACATGCACGCGAAGTAAAATATTATTAGCAGACTCTGCCTGAATTGCCTCGGTCGGCATCCGGTTGGAGAGTGCACCTCGAAGAAAACCTGCTCAGTGTGTGACGCGCGCCACCACACCTCGCTGCACGACGCCTGTCGCGAGACCGCGGTGACGAGAACGTCGCACGTCGCGCAAGGACCGTCCGAGACCCCAGCCACCGTACTTCTGGCCACCGCTCGCGTTCGCGTGGCCGACGGACACGGGAGGCTCCATCAAGCCCGTGTACTTATCGTTCAGGGCTCGGAGGCATCGATGATCTCCGAGCGCCTCGCGCAAAAATTAAGACTTCCGCGCTCACCGTGTTCGGGATTGGGGGGCAAAAGTCCGGCTGTGCCAAGAGTCGCGTCGCGCTTTCGATGTCGCCACGACTCGGGGGAGAAGTGATGTCCGTCGGCGCTCTCGTGCTACCAAGACTCACGGTATACACCGGCGGGACTGACCTCGGAACAAAGGCATGGCCACATCTGCAGGGGCTGGAGCTGGCCGATCCTGACTACCGGGCTTCGGACCCGGTCGACATCCTCCTCGGCGCCGATGTCCATGTTGCCATCCTCTGCCAGGGTCTCCGTACAGGGGGCTACCGGGAACCTGTGGCACAGAACACG